AAAAAAAAGCATCCAGAGGGCTAAACAGAGGAAGTATACTTACCATGCATATTTTAACAGCTAGCCTTTAGAAAGTACCTTCCAACCAAAGTCTTTAAAGTACTTCCCCCACGTATACTTGCAACACTTAATATTGCAGCTCAGTTGTGGTTCACTTTTATCCTAAGTTTGAATTTTATTCTCTTTGTTTTGAACTCATAATCATAAAATTCGTATTACCGTACCCCCAAACAAAGGGAAGCAAAATTTACACCTAGGATATAATAAAATAAAACCACAGCATAGCCATTTGCTTTGAAACAACTGACATCTTTAAGACCAAGGTATGATTGATGTTCCTGGCACATTGCCCGTTAATATGTTGAAAAGTTGCCCTTTATTGATGTATTAAATAACCTGATCCATCTTATCTTTTCAAATAATACAATTGCACTTACTTCTCATCATAGGTTTGTAAATATAATATTATTAGACTTACAGTTTTATCTCATCGTCAACATGTTTTAATTTGGGCTTGAAAAAACGCTACAGCTAGGAAGGAGCTCCACTGCTACACTTACTGTCGAGGAAATACACCTGGCTGCTTCGATCTACGTTATCTTTCAGCATGTATTTAAGCCAAAACCCTACGAAAAGCGTCAAGCAAAAGTAGTTCATTGCTTTGTGAGTTAGACCCGGTATAGATTCGCTTGAGTTCCAAATATGGCTGTGCTTTGAGAGTTTTTGTCCCGACTGTAGCTTCTTTCAACTGCTGTTATAACATAGCTAGAAAATTCGCCTAATCAAATTCAATAGCGCGAGCGTGCTTCATATTCCTATTGAGCACGCTGATGACGTCAATAAACTATTCGTAATTCCTCGAGTTGTTGTGAGCTTAGCAATCCTGAATCTCCTGAGTGCATCCATAACTCAGCAATGGACAATGACGCGTTTACCATGTGTTTTATAAGGAAATTTGAGAGGAAACGTTTGAATTTGTTAACCGATAGTAGTGAAAAGAGGTGAGTGTTGTTGTTGTTGTGATCTCCGCGAGCTGTGCGGGCTATGGCGTGAGATCATTCTTTTCAAAGTTGTTTTCCCTCAGTGGCAATTTTTCGGTAAATTAATAGTTTTCCGGCACCTAAATATGGATTTTACAATCATTTTAGAGTACACTTTCTCTCAGTTTCAGGATAAAAACACAAGATTAACTGTGAGGAAAAAAAATATATAGTCACGTAAACATTGACGCGTACTGCTTTGAGCGCGCCCAACAATAATAAAATTTTAAGTTAACTGTTGCATTGACCGCTTTGATAATGTTATAAAACAATTAGTTCATGCTGCAGCTGTGCGTATGTCGAGATATTGAGCACTTGGGAAGTTTGGAGAGCACTCAAGAGGCTAGAGTTGCACTCGGCTGCGCCTCGTGCAACTCTTACGCCTCTTTCGTGCTCTCCAAACTTCCCGCGTGCTCAATATCTCGACATACGCACGCTGACGCATGAACTAATTGTTAATTGGAGCATATTTTGTTGTTTAGTAAAACGCAAAAAGGTGAAAAATGTCATGACGTTATTACCTCCGTATTATTTCAAGCACCTCATGAGCATATAGTTCATTAGTAAAATAGCGACCTTAAGTGTTGTTTCGACGCTTCTCTATCATCGATCTTACCGGGTTCTTGATCCTTACCGGCCATTTTGGATTTTTATGGAGGTTTCCGCTGACAACTCGTTCCCAGACTTCCGTTCCCCGTTCCCCGCTCCCCGCTCCCCGCTCCCCGTTCCCCGTTTTAGTAACATCCCTGCTCGCAGGGCATATAGTGGTAAAAACATCTTTTGACTGTTGTCAAAAGCGTTAAGAATGCGTTAATCCTCTCTGCAATAAATTTTGGACAATGATTATGTGTGATCCTTTCAGATTATAATGCTACTTTTACCTTCCGTATATATCATGATTTTACTAACCGATTGTTTTTTCCTAACAACATCGTTTAAGTATGTAAAAATGAATCAGTGGGATAAAATCCGATTTAGTTAACAAATCCTTAGCGAACAAACAATTTGAACTTCAACGAGGCCCCGTTTTTTATAAGAATAAGTTATTTTTTGGTCATTTTGCAGTCATCTGGAGTGCAAGTCGACCAAGATGTCATCGATGCCTTTAAGGAAATCAAGTCGAAAAAGTCGCACGCATACGTGGTGATGAAAATCGAAGACAAAAAGAAGATTGTTGTCGAGAAGAAAGGATCCAAACTGCCCCCGAATTGCTCTCAGACACGGAATGAGGAAATTTTTAACGAGATGAAAAACTCCTTGGGCGAGGAACCGCGCTATATAGTTTTTGACTTCTGTTTCACTCGGTCAAACCAGACCGTTTCACAGCCGAAGCTAACGTTTATCAGCTGGTAGGGCACGATCTACAGTAAAACTGCGTCAACTCGAACTCTGAAAAGAAACGGGTCGGCGGATTGAAAAACTCAATTTGCCATGTTAAAATTGATAGTTACTGATTTCTCAGTAATTTATTTTATGGTGCAGTGCAAATTTACTCATTTCACGGTAATTAACGTGATTAGGCATTTGTATGTTATAAAAAAAGTGGTCCGTTCGTTTCACCAATTAAGTCAGTCAAATTGCCTTTAATAGCGACCAGTGTTAGTTTTAGTGTTTTTACGCTTTTACGCTTAAGAAGAGGCAATGGGATGGCATCCGTGTGGAGTTAAAAGTGCCAGACTTTGAGTTATCTGGGTAAATGTCAGTCACTCTTTGATCGAAGGAAAGCGAGTAAAAATGACTTGAAAGTGGGGTGAAATCTAGCGAAAACTGGATATAGTTCCAGTTACCTAGCGGGGAATTCGTTTTCACTGTCACGCAGCCAAAAAAAAATTAATTGGAAACCGTCCAACGAAAGAAGCCAAGAAAAAAGCAATGTTATAAAAGACTAATATATAAACAATCTGTCCAACTCTCAGGTCTTTGAGGCGCACAGTTCCTGAGTTGTTTGCCGAAACGTTTCACGCATTTCTGTAGAGCTTTGTATGGAGACGCCATATTGGTGTACAGTTTTGGTGCACCAATATGGCGCCCGGAAATCAACAAAAACATCTGGAGTTCACTTTTTCTATAAAAGCTCTTTCTTTTCACTCGAGAACTAGCATACGTGTGTATAAACATATCGTCTAATACTTGAAATGGTATTTTGCTGAAAATCAAGAGTAGAGACTTTTTTTTCAATGAGACAGCATTCCTATTTTGGTGTCACGCACTGTGAAAACTCGGAAGTTCAAATCAGCTGTATTTTCGAAAAGAAACATGCTAAGGGAATGGAAACGTGTGCAAAGATTTATTTTTTGTTTGTCTTTAACCTAGTGTAAACAAGAACTAATAAAACCTCGCTATTTTGACTTAACAATTTGATGACGTCACTGTGAAAACCATCTATTTTTTCAACTCTTACCAAACGTACTCCCCTATCGTAGTTCGGATTTGTTTGGAACCAAGATAGTTTCAAGCAAGAGAGGATAAACCGGTCCTTTCTTAGGCGCATTTTTGTAACAAGGTATACCCCCGGAGCTCTTGCAGTAAACTCTCATTTCCTTTATTTTAAGCCCTCTGTCAAAGGTGCGTCTTCTTTGATAACATGTTTCGATTTTCCTTTTTTATGCTTAGGTGTAAAGATGATTGCTGTGGTCAAGATAAGTTGATTCACGCCAGTTCAAAGCAAGCGTTGAAAGCTGAGTTAAGCGGGCTCAACACTCCTGAATTCCAATGTTCAGAACACTCGGAGTTGTCGTTTTCAGAGATAACCAAAGATTTGCAGAAGCGGGACAGAGTGTAATTGATGGACTCAACAGCAAAAACGATGTGACGTCTCTACCACTATCACTTATTTTAAAAAAATTGAGTTCATTTTGGCCATGAAAAAGCTCTTGAAAAGTTTCACTTTAATAATGTATACCTGTTTCAGAATGTAAACAAATTCCCTAAACTGTGTACAAGGGCCAATTTAACTTATAAGAATTTCACAAATTTGTACTGCACCATTAAAAGCACTTACAGGCAACTCTTTCAGACTGTCATATCTCTATCTCTTTTGTTTGCAACATTTGCATTGCCAGAAGGCAGATATATATCATAACAATACGGGACCAACATAGACTACGAGTAGTCCCCCATTTTTCCTCAGGGATAGTAGAGCGAGCGAAACGCGAGGGCGCGTGAAAATCACCCCACGCGAGAAAAGGCGACACGATTTTCACGCGCGCTCGCGTTTCGCTCGCTCTACTATCCCTGAGGAAAAATGGGGGACTACTCGTAGTCTAGGACCAACAATACCACCTCACACAACCTATGAAAGGTACACTACACCACCGGGTCCAATGTCTTTTGCATGCTCCTCTTGATCTTGGGTGACCTACCAGTGACGGATCCCGACCTTTCAGATGGGGGGTGGGGAAGAAGGGATCAAAGTGGCTTTTTTATGACAAGAATCCGCTGGAAAAATAAGCGCAGGCATAAACTATATAGCCGGCGCCCTTGTGCCGCCTAGTCTGCGTAGCAAGCGTTTTTGCTCGAGTTAATGAGTTATAATGCTCTCGCTCCAAGTTTTCGCACTATAACACGAGCGGAAATGCTTGCTACGTAGAGCGGAAACGCCTGGCAAAGAACGCTTTTACAGTTGTTAAATTCCTTTCGTCTTAAATCTAGAAATGAGGCTATTTCTGTGGCCTAATTTTTTTGCCCGTTTTAAAAACAGGATACCCTTGTTTGGCCAGCTGAAGAAAAAAGCAGGCGTTCTCTCTCTTCTTTATTTTACCTATATTGCGCAAGATTATCTTTTTGTTCAAATGACAGGTTAAATTCCAGGTCAATTTTTCATATAGAGGTGCCTTTATTAAGCTGCTGCCGGACGCTTAATACAGGTTTAACTGTACATTTATTGGGAGAACCGTTCACAGATAAATTTCTCAACACATAAAAGAAACACGATATTCCAAGATTGCATCCTTTTAAGTTGTTGGTTTATTCTCTTGTTGGATTATGAATTAAGATGGCGGTTGATACATACAGAGATAAACCACTCTTCGTCTTACAAACAGAAAGGACAAAGGAATAAGTAAACTAGTGACGAAACTTGACCAACAAAGCATGCCTTGAAGTTCCAAATTCAACAAGAGGATTTTTCTTTTAATGAAAGCGAACACACCTGCAGTCTGTCAAAATGACCTCTTTTGAAAGTAAGTTGGTTATTGCACTGGCAGATTAGGAATCTCTTGTTAAACTCTGTCTTTATGGATCAGGTCTTTGACCAGCTCTGAATGCTGAAATTCTGCAGAGTCAGTGCACTGAAACTCTGTATTGAGCCCCGTGAAGCGCTTCTTCAAGGCATCTTTCGAGCTGGCGTAGATCATCTTCTTCCCTATTGCAACTTCATCGCTACACCTAGGTCAATACAATATCCAGACTGTTAAAATACAAGCAGACTCTCTATTATCTATCGGCCACGTTTTGGCGAGAAATGAAACAAAGATGCAGCCTAAGTCCCTGGGCGTTCTCTCTCGCTCTGTTATCGGGGAAAGGACGGCGAGTCTCTCTCAGGTGACGTCACAGCTCACGGTGAAGTCCAGATTTAACCGAGCAGAGAACGCCTTGGGAGATGCATCAACATAAGTCGCAAGAGATTTCAAACCTTTAACTACTCTAGCAGAAACATGACAATCTACGATTTTGCTCTCCAGCACGGAGTTTTTGCACCCGTGACTGTCCAGCAGGTGCAAAGAGCTTATTGCGAAACAATAGTGCTGATACAATCCGCTGTGCATAGTAATAAATTGACGTAGAAACATATAGGAGACATAATGACCTCTTCAAAGGAATTAGCAAGTAAATGGACTAACCCGGTAACAGGGATACGTTTTGCTTTCATTTATTTTATTTTATTTTATTAGATTCGCCAATTATTGGCAGGATCACCGCAACAGCATGACGCCAATTACTGCGGGCCCCTAACAGTCCCTCCCCCCATGAGAGAGAGACCAACACACCGGGGACTACGTCCCCTACTCTTTACGAACAGTGTGTGGGTTCTTTAACGTCCCACAGAATTTATATATGCAAGGGCTGTGAGACGGGGCATACGGTTTGTCGTCCTTATCCGAGAAGACTAGAAAGTCTAACTGTTTGCAGATGTCTTTACAAAGGCAGCACTTTCTCCTCAGTTATTTAAAGACCCTGAGTGTTGGTCCGGCCGGGACTTGAACCAGCGCCTCCCGCTCGGAAGACCGGTACTTATCCAACTGAGCTAACCGGGCGGCGGTTAAAATGGGAAATTTCAGCACGGTTGCCAAGCTGAGATTCCAGCCCGATTTCTGTTTCATATGGGAAACTTCAGCTCGGTCCCCTAGATAGACAAGGAGCGTCCTTTCACATATCGGTACTCGGGCTGAATGGAAAAATATCCTAGCACAATTACCCAGATCCCGATTGGAAAACTGAGACCTCGGCTACCAAGCCAGCCATCCTATCCTATCCTAACACTAACAAGTCAAAATTTTTACAAAAGGGTTTAGTGCAGCCTGCGTCGCAGACCGACACATAATCTAATCCCTGTTAGAAGTTTAGTTCCATTTGTGGCGCAGGCCAGGTTTAGTGGAGTCTTAGCGGTGACGTGAGATCTTGGAAAATGGGTCTTCTCGGTCAACCGGGCAAATTTGAATAGGTTCTCAGTTAAAGGTTAGGGTTAGGAAATGGGAGAGAGATTAAAACTACCCAAGAACTGAGCGGAAGAATCCATTTTGATTCAAGAGCGCGCGCGGGATGGCGCGAATTGTCAAATTACTTAGGTATGACGCCTTCTGTCCTATCGCACTGTCCTATTAATTCTGAGATCAGGGCTGCTGATAGCTAATCAGATAAGAGAATTTTGTGATAGCTACGAATAACCGCCGCCTGGTTAGCTCAGTTGGGAGAGCGGCGGGGGAGAGCGCCGGTGTGCCGAGCGGGAGGTCGCGGGTTCAAACCCCTGCCAGACCAACACTAAGGGTCTTTAAATAACTGAGAAGAAAGTGCTGCCTTTGTAATGACATCTGCAAATGGTTAGTCTTTCTAGTCTTCTCGGATAAGGACGAAAAACCGTAGGTCCCGTCTCACAGCATTTTAACGGATTTGTTCTTGTGGAACGTAAAAAATCCACATCACTATTGGAAAAGAGTAGGGGTAGTGGACCCCGGTGGTGTGGCCAACATAGTTACGGGTTGTTGGATTGAGTAGGAATGGCACCTCGCATGGGACCTGAGTCCCGTTCGTGCACATTCCCTCTGGGCAGGCCTGTGTCCAGAATAGCTGGTAAATAAATAAATAAATGAATAGCTTTTTATGTGGCATCAGCGGTGGGAAAAAGTTCCTATTTCTTGTCTTTCTATATTTTATGTTCCCTGTAAGCGGTGGTCAGAGCGAAAGCTCTGCTCTTCTGTCCACCGTACACTTCCGCAAAAACCATTTATTTCTGTCTATTCCTATTGCCCCTAATTTCACTTAACTTGAAGTGTACATGAATTGCATTTCACTAGTTGTTAAAATTGAACAGTTGTGTGAATGAATTGTTTTTGTTGTTTGTTGTCGTAAAAATCGTGTAAATAATAACGAGGATGACTCAGACAAACACTGATTTCGGATTATGAGTTATAGATTTCTTACCAGCTGATAAACGCTAGTTTCTGCGCAACAGTCTGATTTGATCGGGTGAAGCAGAAGTCGAAAAGAATGTAGCGCGGTTCCATCCCAAATGCCCTTTTCATCTCGTTAAAAATGTCCTCATTCCTGGACTGACTGCAGTTCGGAGGCAGTTTATCTCCTAGTTTTTCCACAACAATCTTCTTGTTGTCTTTTATCATCATCACAACGTATGCATGCCGTCTTTTTAACTTGATGTCGTTGAATGCGTCGATAACAGTTTCGTCAACCTCTACTCCAGATGACTACAATATAAACAGTATGAGTTTAGTATGCTCTGATTCAAACAATTGTACGCCATGAAATAGCTAAATCAGTACTATACTTTTATAAATTTGGGAACGATTCAAGCTAAAATCTCCTTTTCAAAAAGTATTGTCAGGCAATGCCGACGTATAAATTTTTTCACCTCCCTTTACCCAATCAACATAATGTTTTGGAAAGAGAAAAAAAATCTTTTCGATTTTTCTCAGAAAATAACGGCCTTTCTTCTGCAAAAAATTAGTTTTGCTACAGACTTTTTTATTAATAGAAAGTAAATAACACTTTTTACCACCATTTAACTTGTTGAACGTTCGTATGACATTCTACTACCCTCACCCTGCGAGAAGAACCTTTCTTTCAGTTGCTGTTTTGGCGTAAGAAGGGAAAAGGATTCATCAAATGGGTCATGTCTTATAAACACTTCCCTCTATTAAAAACCTAAGAGCAAAAAAGTATGAATCATCTGCTTCTTTTTCAACAACTGGTCTTTCCTGTGGTCTCAATACAAAGCGGTTCGATCGTATGGTTTTTGAACTGAAAAGGTACTTTGCATTATTGTTGTGTTTCAATTAATTCAGCCCAAGTCTTTGCCCAGTTTAGATTACAAAACCGCAATTCAGCGACAACAAGTAAGCCGCAGTTGACAAATTATTCAGAAAAGTTAACTCTAAATAGCAGTCTAAACTTCAGATTTCTCTTCAGCTATAAATCAACGTTTGCATCTTTTTGCCAAAGAATAAGTACTCACCATGTTCCTGATGGATGTTTATCAACCTAAGAAAAGGAACATTGGATAACTAAGTTTACGAGTTTACGAACTGGAACTCTTCTTCTACTCAAGATTTAAATCTTCGCAGAAATTCTAAAGCCCTTAAGCGCATGGAGAAACTAGTCGAGAAAGTCAGTCTTATTGAAAAAAAGAATGAAGAAAAGGACGATTTAGTAGTATAACTGCAATCTGACAATTTCATAATCTTATATAAGTTTACGAGCTAACAATGAGTTTAAACGTCTAAAGCCTACAAAGCTTTTAAAATGAAGTGAAACTAACATTACAGCAAAGCTAAAATTTTTTACCTTCGAGAAAACTCCTTCACTGTAATGGAGAATGACAGAATGCCTATGACGTGGTTTATCGAAGAATTAACTAATCAGTGATGTAAAAATTAACATTCATTTATAACCTGATTAATGAGCCAGTTAACTGATTCTAAAAAAGTCCTTCACACACTAAAAGCTTGAAACTCTGCTGGAATCTTTCCTTTTCAGTATTATACAAAGTTGAAGATAGATTCCCGCCACTGGAAAGCGCGTAAGTAGGTCCCTGATTGGATAATTTAAAGCTCATCGCCTTCTGATTGGTTGTTTTAGAGAAAACGTGAAGCAAATAAACCAAAAAAGAAAGAGGAGAAACTAACAAGAAAACAAGAACAACAAGAACCTTTAACAACAAGAAAGAAATAAACTGGAACCAGAGGCGGATCCAGGATTTTTCGTAGGAGGGGGTGCACCACTAAGGAATGGCGTAATTGACTGGTGACGTAAACAAATTTTAATAGCGAATATGAAGAAGAAGGCTTTCGACTAGGCAATAACATAATGTGAACTGCTGAGAATACATATCAAATGATAAAGCAGATTTTGTATAACTGTGAAGCAGACTGCACAGTGTTAATTAGAAAGCCGCAGGTCATTTCAGGGGGGGTGGGCACCCCCTGCACCCTCCCCCTAGATCCGCCCCTGGGAACGCCCTTTTTTTCGTGTTTTTTTCAAAACACCAATTTATTTCTTGAATGTCACCAAAGCATTGAATCGTGTTTTTTCCATCTCACTTCTTAGTCCTTGCTCCAGCAACACCTTTCATTAAAACACGTTTTTGCCTCACACATTTTAGTAAGGTTATTATTTCTTTGATGGTGTACTAAAAAATTGAATTTGAAAGATAAATAAATAAATGAAAACAAAAAAGCAATAACCGATTTCCTCCTAAGTGGGGACTGTAGTAAAGGGGCCGGTCATTATTTGGAGGGGTGGAGTTGGTACGGGGCTGAAACAAAACTAACCCACTGCATGAAATACTTCTCACCTGCTCACAGCCCCACCTCTTTCTTGCAACTTTTGCCTAAATCTTGTTGTCAGTTCTTATCGCGAAAATAGGCTCTGCTCGTTAACTGCTCGCAGGGTCGGAGAAAAAATAGAGTGCCCGCAAAGAATGCCTGTCCAGCGGTGTTCCAAGCGACTCAAAATGGCGCCTGTCTGCAAAAATGGCGGGTAACGCAAATTTTTTGTTTACATCGGATCGGTCTGATCTTGATTGATCTAGCCATGTACATTCTTGTCAATCGAGATGAGGATAGTTCAGTTTATAATTACATTGCACAACAGCTGCTGAATGGATCACTAGGTCATGAAAAATGGACACTGGCGCCAAAGAATTCAGAACGTTTCAATTTGCTGTTTGGGGAGAGAAAATCAACACAACTTGACTACACAAGAATTGGTAAGCTTTGCTTGTTAAGTCTATAGTCGTGGAAAATTCTTGGCTATCATCGATCTTGGCCACTATCGAGTTCCCAGTTAAGGGTAGAGCGTCGTTTCTGGAAAGATTGATTCCAATTTAAGCTAAAATTGGCGGGGTTTACAAAACCTTGATCGGATCAACCTTTGTAATCTTATCTTTGACCTTTTTTCATTTGGTAACTTACAGGGGCTGATCGAAATCATGTTTTATTTACGCCTTACCAATGGCGTATATAGTTCGCAGAGGAATAGAGGGTGACGCAGAGCAGTCAACCTCCCCACGTCAACAAATATTGAGAATTGATATATGACTGATATATGACCTCATATCGCACGACAAATGACGTCATTTGTGCCAAATATGCTAGTTGATTCTGGTCGACATATATAGTACCTAAAGAGTTCATATTTAGCCACATTATTGCTTAAATTGCATCAGTGGCACACCAGAATTTATGAGGAAACGTTTCATGTTAATGGTAGCTCAAACAATGCAACATTTTTCAAATTTTATGGCCGGAAAGTCGAGTTTACAGAAATAGCAACTTTGGCGATTATCTGGGAGATATCAGACTCTAATGTGGAGACCAGGAGATACAGTCCAAAATCTGGAGTCTCCCAGATTATCCGGGAGAGTTGACAACACTGGTTACGTTAGGGGTTGGGGAGGGGTCTAACATGCCTGTTAAAATGACCCTTCTGTTTAAAAGAAGAAAGTGATAAATAATAATAATAATAATTAATCTTGCTAATTCTTAATGTTCTGTAATCAATTGAACATTGGGTAATCCAATTAAATTTGACAAAATATGACACGTTTATTGAGTTGTTGAAATATTTTGCCAGTTAAAAAACTGTGGATACATAAAAATATTGGCATCAATATAGGCACTCCATCCTGAACACCCCAAGTGTTACCAAAATCTGCAATTTTCTACCCCTAAACGAGATGATGAGTGACCCTGGTCCTTTCATGAATGTGGAAGATTCCCCAGAAGTTAGTTGTTAGTGCAAAATAGAAATGCTCCAGGTTTCAGAACTCCAGCAGCTGGCATCTGAGTGGTTCAATATTAGGAAAAGTGGTAACAGAAGTGAAAATTGAAATGGTTTTTGTATTTTCCCTTTAAGGTCACACTTCAGGTTTGTGTCAAGCTGTAAATTACTACAGGGGATCTGAAAGACTCCTTTGTAAAAAGGTACCTTTAGTGAAGTGAGTATATCCAAGGAAATTCTGCTTACTGTTTGTTTATTGTTGTGCTGTAGCTTTATATCACTCACCCTACTATCAGAGTCTTTTGTCTATACTTCAGTACTTCTGATATGGTAACTAGATAGGCTTGATTTCCGCCACTCTCTCAGGTCCAGTCTTGTTCCTTCCTGGGAGGAGACAGCCTGACTCGTGAGTAGCTGATCATCTCTGTGACATAAATTCAAAATTCAATTTGTGCGTCATTACAAAATGCCCATCAGACACCAAACATATGTTGTTTGTTTTCTCCTCATCACTTTGATTTTCACCAATAATCTCAGCTACATGATTTGAGCAGGCAACAATCTGATTGGTGAAAATTGAGAATAACAAACCCACATGTCCAGCTGTCTTTTCAGGGGATGAGCACAGGCGCAATTCCTGAACAGCAGCTGTTTATTGAGCCTAGTAGACAGATAAAAAGATGTGAATATATCCCATAAACTGAAAATTTGTAAAAACAATTCATTAACAACGATATATTATCTAAAAGGGTGCAAACATATTGATCAATTACAGTCAAACCTCTCCGCAATGGCCACCTTGGGGACAGAAGAAAGTGGGCCTGTTGTAGAAAGGTGGCTGTTGAAGAGAGGTTGAAATAAGATTCCCTCATCTTGTGATTTCATCGCTCACGTTAGCTCACTTTGTGAGTGTTCCTTTCGCCTTCAGTGCTCTCTTGCATTCGACTTGTGGCAAGTCTACTTGGGACGTTATGTCAGGAGAGATGTCTGCACCTCAGCAACAGAAATTCCATACTGATGACATAAAATCTGTCCGGAATCTGTTCAGGGGCTCTGATTGGTCAACATTGTAGTTTCATTGTTCTAGCTATTGTTTACGAATGACCAACAAAAAATTATACAAAAGCCAAGGCCACAAAGGTCAAATGTAAATGTGATGAATCTGTAACAAAACAGTCAATATTAAATTTGTGGATTATATTCTTCTCTAGAAGAAGCATTTGAGTTTTGCTGGTGGTTGTTCGCAGATTAAAACAAAATTGTACCAAAATTGACCAGGAGAAACGTAAAATCAAACAAATTTCTCTTTGAAACCCGAGGATTACCGGATTGATTATGTAAACATTGATTTACCTCATTACTGTGGAATATCTGTCACTTTGACGTAGATGTCCCTCCTAACGAATAAGTCCCAAGCAGCAAGTAGCAAGGAGAAATGGCTGTTTTTGCAGGCCAAGACTAATAATTTCTTTATATTTTCTAGATATGTACGCTCTTTGGCTGAAAGTGAGCAATTGGCATACCAATGGATGCCTGTTTCTTTTATTATTCTGCCAGAACAATTAAAATCCAAATCAGAGACGAGAAAGAAATTGCATGCAAAGTATACTGATGAAAGAAACAATCTTGTGGCTTTGTCAAGCACTCTTAAAGAGAAAATATGGATTGCAAAATCATCATCTGGAGCAAAAGGTGAAGAACACGAAAGAAAATATCTTATTCATTCTTCAGAAACTCATTAATGTTCATAAAGAAAAACAAAAGAAATTAATGTTTAGTGAGTGTCTTTATATCTGATAAAGACACAGCTAAACTTTACCTTAATTTTTTAATCTAATTATTAGTGCAAGAATGAGTTGATCTATATCAGGGATTTTGATTTTGAAGATTCAAAAAACTTGTAATCGTGTATTATCAGGTTTAAAAACTACATAAAAACTCTCCACTTCGCCTCAAGTTTTTAAATCTGATAATACACTCCTGCTCATTTTTTTAAAATAGTATTAGACCTCTGATCTAATAGTTTTGACTCCTGATACGAAAGTTCTGATCCCTGAAGCAAAGATTTTGCAGATCAGCTACTGTTATGCTGATTAGGATGGTAGAAATAGAAGTGTAGTTATGAGAGAGTTATTTGAGAACAAAAAGAAATAATATTATCGTTCGAAGCAAATTTTTCTTTCTTTTCATTGGCCGACAGCCCACCACGTGACCTGCAAATAACTGCCTACAAATAATGGTCTGCTGATGCACAATGTTGTCCAACTGTGTTTGGCTGCAAATAATATTCTGCACATGCGTAAAGGACACCGTGCTTTTCTCCTTCTTGTGATCGGTCTTGCGTGAAAATGACAGATCGCTTCGCTTCCCAAGGATATTCATTAAAAAAAGAGAAACTCGGTGATCGAATGATAAAACAATAGTTGTTGAACTCAGTTATTGCAAAATATCATATTTTGTCAGTGTCTCGCAGATCAACTATTTGCCTCAGCTTTCAGCTTCGGCAACTAATCTGCTCGCCACAGACAAATCATGATATTTTGCTCAACCTCGTCCAGTATATTCTTAATTATTCAAATTATCCTCATTAGCTCCTCAGAATGGTGGGTAGAATATGTTGTGGTTTAATTTTATCCTTGGCTCAACTTCTATTTTTGCACTTTTGGGTTTGGTAATTCATAATTATAATGAGTTTGAAACATTTAGGAAAATCAAACTCAAACCAAGGATAAAATTGAAACACAACAAATATACATGCTGATGTGTTGGGTTTAAAGGGTACAGAAAGGCTGTTAGGGAGAAGTACAGTATGCGTTATGCAGTGCAGCTGGGCTTGAAAAAAGTCCTCAGTGGTCATCCAGGACAACTAGATTTTTTTTCCTGTCACCATATTTTTTTTGCTTTTCATGCTCACTTAGGCGTAGTCTCCAGCCTTGGGTGTCTCGATCAAGGCTGGAGATGGAGCCCAATGCTCACTTCGCTGATGAGGAAAGCCCAGGGAAATTATCTTCTAATCAAATAAATTGTAAAATTAGTCAAGAATGCTATGGCTTTGAACAAATCAATCTTTTTTCAAGCACTGTCTTAGATGTGCTTCCCATTCAGGTTGTTTTCGGTCCGTGTGTGTTCTTACAGTCACTAGCATCAAACCTCTGTTCAACATAATGTACAATATTATTAATAGTAAAAGAATTCAGGTGTGTAAGGGATAATGGGTTCAATATTCTTTCTCTTTAAAGGGAAGGACATTTTTATCTCAGATAACATCGAAGAAATCCTGGCCTTTGTTGATGAACAGACCCAGGGCTATGTTGTCCAGAAGTACATAGAAAACCCTCTGCTATTAGACAACAATAGAAAATTTGACATAAGGTGAGAGGAGGTTTTGATCAACTTCTTCATTCACCTCATGAATCTTAATTTTTGTCATCAAAACCCAGCAAAACTGTCTTTTCTCAAGATGGTTTGTCATGAGGCACAATTGAGCGGGAGTTCAAGGGTAACAGTTGATAACATAACAGTTGTTAATTTTGTTGTTTATCACTTATAGATGTTGGGTCTTGCTGGATCATGAATATAACATTTACATTTTCTCAGAGGGAGTGCTAAGAACGTCATCAGAGCCATATGACCCCAACGACCTCAAGAATATCACCAGTCATTTAACCAACCACTGCATACAGGTTTAAACTGATAAAGAAATGATGCTGATCACTGATGTATATAGCAACGAAGTGGACCATCACAAACACACAATCTGTAGTTTCAGTCAGGGTGGCCTGAGGAAACAACCAACATTTCGTGACCCCACGAGTAGTTTCCTTGCAAATGTCCTAATGAAATTCCATCCTGATGACTCATCACTACCCAGACTTGGGGGCAGTGCATCTGATTGGTTGAAGTAGATTCCTCCTGCAGCACAACCAATCAGAAGCACTGCCCAGATCTAGGTAGTGACATGTCATGACAGTATGGAATTTCTGCAGTCGTTTCTCAGACATCAGTTCACAGGAAAACCATTTGATGTTACCCCATAGAAGAGATTGCATAACCAGATAGTGTAAAATGTAATAATTTGGGGCCTGTCAAAATCAATCCACCACTAAGTAATGGAAATTTTCGTTAGAACTGTACATCATCCTCAGAAACAATAAATTTTAAAATCTTTTAAAGAAACTCTTCCTACATATTTCTCTCTATGGACCCTACATATAAGAGATAATTGGCATGAAACAGAAAATCACAGGTTCATTTAAAACTTTCACTCTCACAATGAATAATGAGCCTTGTACGGTGGTTCTAACTTTTGATTCTGTTGAGGAAAATGTTTGGTCAGTGACCATTCAAATAAATCCTTTTTGGCAGTACTTGTACCAGGTGGTATTTGTTTTTTACCACTTTAGGGCCTGTTTACATGGAGGTGGGGTACCCCAGATAGGTGAGGTAACCTGCTTAGGTGGGGTAATCCGCCTGTCCATATAATCTCTCATTTTAATGTGATCACATTTACATGGTAGATGGGGTAACCTGCAACATGTTACCTCACCTACCTGGGGTCCCCCACCTTCATGCAAACAGGCCCTTAGAAAAAGAAGTTTAAAAATTTTGTAGTTGGATTTTGACTTTGGTCACTTTTGGGATTGCAAGGGTTACCATAAATGACATAATAAACACCTCTTATCCAACAATTTCCCCCTCTATGCTGTTAAAATTGTATTAGATGCCCTAATAAACGCTCCCTGTCTAATAGGCTCCCCGTAACTAGTAGGGATTAGCAAAAAGGAGCAAAGTCATTCAATTCATTCAGTTTGTTGCTTGATTAACAAGGCTTTGTGTATTTCATATTGCTCATTGTCAAGTTCAAAGTAAGGATAGACTAATAATGGCAACACAATAAGCTCCCTGAGCAAGGACTCTGACATCGATGTTGGGATTTGAAAGAGCAATATGGATCTCTAGATGGTCTAGCTACTGAATGTATAAATTGATGGGGTGGATATTCTGCTATTTTAAAATTTTCTAGATGAAGTATATTGCCGGTAAACATATTTCTTTTGACAGGAAGAATGCTCCACAGATTTTGGACACTATGAGGAAGGAAATGAAATGTTCTTTAATGAATTTTCAAGGTAAAAAACTAAAATAACTTAATAAAAATGATCAAATCCATTACAAGAGGACAACAAAAGAAAAACTTACTTATTTAAAATAAACTGTTACTTTGTTTCCTATGTCTTTAAACATTAATTTTTGGTTACACCTTATAAAGCTATTATCTCTGTCCCTTTACATTATTACACTGTGGTAATTGCAAGCCAGGTTTGCTTGTTTTAAGCAAAAAAGTGCATATGTAGTACACAAAACATCCTTTAATTTACAACTGTCTCTAATGTTTATGCTTCCAGGTTTCTTGAAGAGAAACATCAAGTCTCATTAAAAGAAGACATTTTACCTCAGATAAATACGATAGTTAGGAAATGCCTACTTGGCCTTAAAGAGGTAAGAATTTTCACATTAAGGTGCAGCAACAAATCAACAAAATCACAAAGCCAAAAAAGTTTGTGACTGTGTACCAATACCTTAAATTGTCTCTTCAATTTGTGTTACATGTTTGTTTAAGTGTGATAATGTAAATGAAGTTGCACAACCATCTAGGAGTTGGTGTTCAGCTTAAGATGTACATCTATAATGGGCACAGTACAACTGTGCAAACACCACCTGGGTTAGCTTATGATAACTCTTTGCATTTTTTTGCTGGCACCTAGCTGAGTGGTTCGATTATATTGCCTAAAATATAATAATACAACAACTTTATTTGTAACATTCTACCCTCCCCCCTCCACAATAAGGGTTACCAGCCTAGTGACATGTAATTCACTCTTAGGATTCTGAACCCTAATATAGAGAAAATACTGACAAAGATCAGTTCTAAATTGGTTCCGATTTGAATCTTGCCTGTTTTAGTCTGTCCTTACATAAGTTTGATTTATTCTAATAAAAGGTATCTTTGACTTCAATAACATGACCCACTTTATACAGACACAGTCAGTGATGATAATGGCCATGTCTTTTGAAGCTGGCTAGTTTAGTGTCAATCTTGTTAAAGGGCCATGATTAGTTTTACTATAATGTGCCCTTCTCCATTCTAATTTTTTTTTCTTATGTACACGTAGCTTAAACAACCTTGTACTAATTAATATTGTACACTGAACTAATGTATTATCTATAGGATGGAGTAAAAATAAAATACAAAATACATATACAGACACTTCCTATGGTCCCCTTAGTGTCAATATTTGTAGGGATTGACTGTACTTATCACCTTCATTGGAAATGACACCTGAAAACTCTTGAAAATTACAGACATTTGACTGAAACAGTCGGTCCCGACAGCACAATTTCATTGTTCTAACTCTTGTTATAATGGACACCAATCAGCATTTTTGGACATTTTGGCAGAATTATCTCAGATTATAGTTGATCTCTTCTTCTTTCTCTTCGTCTCTGTCACTTTGGTTGAAAAGTGAACATTCTGATTTCTGTTTAACATGATCCTTCGATGAAACTAACATACCGGTACTTACTTGCAAATAACAGTCATGATGCACTTAACGTACATAAATAATAATTATTTGTGTTTTTAGGTTTAAAATCTAATTATTAGATATTCTAGTACCGTACTTTATGGTTTCTGTGTACTAAAAATCGTTCAGTGACTGTTGTGGTGAATGAAAGGCATATGCAAGTTCTGTTCTGTTACGATTTGTCTTAGACAAATCGTAACAGAACAGAATCATTCTTGTTTGTAAATAAAGTTCTGATGCTCTTTATATGGCTATGAAAACTGCACCGCAATTGGTTCTGGAGTGAATGTAAAAAATTAATATCGATAAATGTGATTCCTCTAATATCAAGAAATTTTTTTCTTGCACGCCATTATTACAGACTCTCGCTATTACGGACACTAAACCACAGTCCTGAGGGTGTCCGCAATAAGGGGAGTTGACTGTATAAATATGAGAAAACTGTCATCTTTCATTTATTTGCAGCCATGAACAAGTCCTGACCTTCTCCTAGGGTACTTTTCAGGCCAGACTGGCCATTTTGGAGATGAAATGTTTGAAATGTTCGTCTTCTCTTGAAATTTTTACTAAAAGCCATTACTGTCATGCGTACTATTTAGGAAAAAAACTGATATGGCTGGATAGTCCGAATTCTCCTTACAATTGGGCCGACATAGCTAGCCAGTTCTGACAAAATGGTAAATTCCCTTGACAGAGGTATGGAAAAACAAGCAACCAAAAACGTACAACTTGTTTTGTGAATTTGCTGCAAAATGAGTTGAATAGGGCTGTTGCGTGTTTTACCATCTACGAAAAAACACCTTGCAACCTTATTTATTTGTTGTAAGACAGGTTCAAACTAGCCTGTGTGGCAGGCATTCCATATGGAAGGGGTATGGAATTTGGGCGCCCAAAATCGAACAACTGCCACACAGGCTAGTTTAAACATAACATGTGGTAAAACATGCAATCTTGCTACTCAACTCCATTTGCAGCATTTTTGCAAAACAAGTTGCACATTCTTGGTTGCCTGTTTTACTGTACATGTATCTTTAGTCATGCAATTCTATACTCTCTCCCAGAGAGAATCAGAACCGGACAGAATCAGCCTGTTGTGTGCTTACTTGTAAAGCAAGTAATCTTTCAGTGTGGATGGAATTGCCAAGCTTTTAACTTTATCGCTGTAACCAGTGTGAATTGTACCCACAATAAAACATCTACAGATATCTTGTAAGGACCTTAGCCTGCATCTATATTCAAAAACCTTAATAAATTCTTTATCATCACACACCATTAACTGTCCTTTATGATTCAGATTCATTCCAACTTCCTTTCGTGAATCTTCTTCAGCAGGTTTTAAACCTGATACAATGAGTTGTGCATTGCTGCCTTCTGTTAACGACTCCAACAACACAATTTTCTCTCCCTCTGCAATAATCAGGTTTTGCCCATCATGGATAAATCCTCTCAAATTATTGATCTGATTCTCTTCTCCATCAAGCATATAATAACTAATTGTTGCTTCGTCTTGCATTTTAAATTGCTCTAATTCTTTTTTCTCTTCATCTTCATCTTCATCTTCATCTTCGCTTCCTTGCTCTTTTCGTTCGCAGCTAAGACTTATTTTTGATATTATTAACGAAGTAAGGGCTTCATATTCTTCAAATTCGTATTCAGCTCGTATCACCTCACCATCTGGAGAACAGCATAGCAGACCAATTCCTCCATATTCTTCATCTTCTTCATCAGGAAGTGGAACACAAATTTCTCTCATTTTAAGGATTTTTAAATTGTTCCAGTCCATAAATATTTCATACAAACCAGGATCCAATTGCACCGAACCAGCCACAAGAAGGCTTCTCTGCGGGGTCAAAGCGATCACTCCAGGATAGGTTAAAGAAGGCACTTTTAGTTCAAGTTCGGAAGAATCAAATGTGTCTTTCTC